GTAGTAGTAGTAGTAGAAGTGGTGGTCTGTAGCAGTGGTCGAGTCATACCAGTAGTAGCAGGAGCAGTCGAAGAAGGAGCTGTTGCAGTCTTTGTGCCAGTTTTAGCAGCAGGTTTGTGTCAAACGAAGCTACCTGATGCGATCGACATAGGGACCAAGCGTAAAGGGACTTGGGTTGAACCAATCCCTTAAAGATTCCTGTTTCGGTCTTCAGGCTGTGGGGTTTGTGCTTCAGGCTGAACAGTTTCGAAACATCTCTCCAGCTTGGGGCTCCAAGTTCGCATCAGGGTTATCCGGAACAAAAACTTACCCCGAATGCAGGATCACTGTGCGTATTTTCTGGGTGCGGTGTTCCTCTGCCCAATTAACCCCCCAGTAAATTAGCACCTTCTTTCGAGACTGAGCATTTCAGCTCTCAACCTCGACTTCGGCCTTAATCGGTGTTTCCTACAGTTTTGCCCGCGGACAGTACTCTGCACTTTCATCTCCTGGGAGGTGATCCCTTACGGAACAAGGTTTCACCAGCTCAGCTTCCGGATCACAATCAGAGGGCCATAGCGGGTTGCTGCATACGACAGTCCGCCTAGCTTCCAAAAACTGCTCTTTCAGCAAGGCGATGATGTCATTGTTGTGGAAGTGAGACCAGTTCATGAAACTGCACTTTCACTGCGTAATGTCCCACGGCTGCGACCACCACGACCACCAGCACCACCCCCGCCGTCACCACCACTACTCACCATCGTTGCATTGGTTTGAACCGTATAGCTAGCATTCAATTGTCCCGTCGTCGCGGCATGTTCTTGCTCAGCAGTTCAGCAGTTTTGTCTCAGCATCCACTTGGGGATAGTCTTGTAGCATTCGGAAATACTGTCCGCACTTAAGATTCCCGTAGATTTCCTTCTCTTTGCCCTCGAAGCGTCTGAGCCAAGGTATGGCCGGCATGTCGCAAAGACGATGCTCAAGGAGCTGAAATGTTCCAGCAGCATGAAACTTGAAACCGGATGTACTTATCTACCTTAACCTACCAAAACCCACTTTTCTGTAGGTTCTTATTATAAACCCTAATATGGGATTTATATGGACCCTACAATCCCTACAAAAAGTAGGTCCTGGTGGGTTAAGGAAATTAATAGGGCGCAAGGATGCTTCCGGGGGGCGCAGGATCCGCGCTGGTACGCCGTCTGGGGCGCCGAGGAGTTTGAGAGGTCCCAGAGCTTGGAAGTTTGGGGCTTTAAGGCTTCGGTTAGGGTTTAGGGTTTAGGGTTTAGGGTTTCGGGGCGTTAAGGAGTCGGTTAGGGCGCTTTTTGCGGTTTCCGTGAAGGGGTCCTCAGGGGATTCTTTCAAGGGCTCCTATAAGTTATGGGTTTGATAAGAATTTTTGGGGGGGTTGGGTGTTATGGTCACTGAAGGGATTGCTCTTAGGGTCCCACCCACAACTCCAGGATCACCTTCGCAATTACTACAAGACTAGATGGCATGAGGGACAGTCACAGTTTGAGTGTCCGCTGCTGAGTTGCTGACGTGGTTGGATGTGTCGGAGGTGATGATGCCATCTCTGTTTCCCTCACGTTGCTGATGCGCTTCTGGGTGCATGTGAGAATGCTGGGAGCCCACCTCGCCAGCTCTGTTTGCCTTCCGTTGCTGATGTGGTTGGATGCGATGATGCTTGGTCTCCGCAGCCTAGGGGTATTTTTCGTTCCCTTGGCCCCGCCCCTCAAGTTAATTTCTCGGCTTGGAATTCAAAGTTCTGTTCTGTGCTTTAGGGGTTAGAGTCCAAGGCCTAGGATATGGTTCGAGGTTTTTGGTTTGGAGTTGGTGCTTGTCTGTGGGAGGCTTAATCTTTGACGAAGCGGTTTCAAACTCTGACTCAAAGGCCCAAAATCGTCAACACGAGCCGCACGCCTTACTCGCAGCATCTATGGCACGAAGGTATATAGACGAACTAAGGTGCTAAAGTATAACTAAGAAGCCCCTAAACCCCAAAACCCTAAACCCTAAACCCCCAAACCCTAAACCCTAAACCCTAAACCGAAGAAGCAACCAGAGCAACAGACGCCAGAGGATAATCTCCCCTTTCCGAGCCGGACTCGAGGCGTCGGAGGGGCTCGGGGGGGTGCTGGGCATGATTGGAAATGTTCCGAGCTGTTTGGCGAGAGTCCAACTACCACAACTACGTTTCATGGCATCTAACAATCTTTTATGTGGGGGGTTTAACAGGTCTTTGGTGTAGTTCGGATCTTTTTTGGGGGTCTTTTCTAACCATGGCCTGTGGCCTCTCCGGAGGGTTTGCAGGGATCGTTTGGTCCTGCGTTTCATGGGTTGCCCGCGATGCCTCTAAAGTTTACAGCGAGGTTGAATACCGTAAACCCCAAACCCTAAACCCTAAACCCTGCAATGACCCGCCCAGTTTTTGATGGTGGAGTGGAAAGTTGAGGCTGCCAGACCGCCATCGCCCCAAACCCGAAACTCCAAGCGCTAGGTTTCAAAAGCCAAGAATTCGAAACCTGACTAGTGGATGTAAGTGCGGCGTAGTATGGGCGCTTCAGTATCTAGCAATCTAGTTGAAACTATACTTTCTACATTCTACCCATAGGCCCCAGTAGTTCCTTTTTGGCGTTACCTTATAGGATTCTATATATGAACCCCAAAAAGGAACTACTTTAGGGCGTATGGGTACAGTGTCCACTCGTTACGGACCCTACGTACATTGCGCACATGCTTCCAGGCCGACCGGTTCGGCAGCCTCTTTTTGAAGGACGTTGGGGGGGTTCATGGCCCAGGGTTCAAGGCCTCGAGTTTCTTGTGTTTTGGGATTTTTGTGGTTAAGGGGTTTTGAGCTGAGGGTTCAATTTTTGTGGGTTTCGGGTTAGTTTGAGTTTTCGGAGGTCGTAGCAGTTACGTCGTAGAGTCGTGTAAGAAAGCAGGCTGTTAGGGCACGACAGATGCCAAGAGGTTGAGCTGCATTAACATAAATGTGGCAAGCATGAGGGTCCTACCATGACGGTCGTTAACAAGTCAGGGGCTTGGCGAGCAGCGGTCCAGCGGTTCTCATTCAGGAGACCCCTGCGAACGGAAGGTATTATTACAAAGCAAGTAATGTAGGGGCCTAAATAATTACCAATACTATTATGGGGTTCCTTATTATATCTATAGTATAGTGGGCCCCAAAACCCTATTCTACTTATCAAGGCCTCCATATTAACTTTCCCACACTTGACATGGAGCCTTGGCCCTGAACACCTGCAAGGACATGGCGCAGTCTGTGCGTGACTGAGCTGGTGCGCCGTGCCCCGGATGCTGTTAAGAAGCCCCCCAGGTACCTACTATATAGGGCCCTAGGGGCTCTAGTACCCTATATAGTAGGTTCGAGTAGACGGGCTTGAAGGGGTTCTATACGGGTCATGCTATGAGGGCTGTGCAGCGCCAGGGAGGAGGACTATGTGGTCGCAGAATGATGCGAGGACAGGGGTAATATAAGCCCCAAGTATACTATCCCAAAGGTTACATAATCCTCAGTCCCGGCGTGTTCGCGTGGGAAACAGGGCAAGCAGGATATTCTAAGCAAGGAGTATCCTCCGAATTCCAGACAGATCCTCACATTCAAGTACGCTACATTGCCTCTACATTGCTTGATGAAAAGGCAGTCATAGGTTCCTTTCGGGCCTTACAAGCCTCTGAATGTCAGGACTTATGTGCCGGTCCAGCATGGTCTTGGTATAAGAATGAATAGTAGTTGCAGCAAGAATGGCACAACACTGACAAGAACAGCAATGGCACAGTCCCACCAGCGTGGTTGGCCAGACTTCATTAAAACTTAAGCTCTGTCGATGAACACCCTCACCTTCCAGTCGAACCGCCGCAGCACCAGGCGAAACTTCGGGAATTCGCTCCGATGCAAGCAAGACCACACTGCCCGTTGAGGCGTTGACGTAGTGGGTAGACCTGTACAGTACTGAACGAGGGAAGGGGCGCGGAGTGCGCTTCTTCAATGATTCAATGATACTGATAAAAACATGACTCATCTCCACAGCCATCGTATTCATTGCATTCCCAGAGACCCCAATACCCCTTAATTAAGGAAAATGCCCTAAAATTATAGGGACCTTAATATTAATTATGACTATGATTTGAGGTAAATTCCGTATTATATTCTTTAATCAGGGGGTATTGGGCTCGCTAAGTTCATGACGTTGCCAGAACGACAAGGACACTAGCAGCACGACCACTCAGGAGTGGCCCAATTAGGTTCAGTCGTCGTAGGAGTAACCCTAAATCCTAGCTCCTTCATATTTACCCTGGACCCTTCATGGCCCTAAGCCCTAAACCTCAGACCCTAAACCAAGTTGTAAAAAACCCTTCTGAAGAGGCTCGGCCTTGGAAATCTACAACTCCAAACTCACAAGTCCAAAACTCTGACTGTACACCCTGGCTTGAATGATAGGGTTCCTAGAGTTTGCATCTCGCGTCTTCGGTTAGATATGCAATATGGAAGCCCAAATACGTATAGTAGAAGCTATCAAGTCGGAACATTATAATCTTCACGCCCGTAACGCAAAGTATGAGGGATCCCAGCACTAATCATCATCCTAAAGCCATGTTCCAACTTTCTGGGGTTCGCTGTAGAGTTTTAGACCACCCAAAGCCCGTCGCACTTTTCAGGTCCCTTACGTTAGCCCTAAACCCTAAACCCTAAACCCTAAACCCTAACGGTTTAGAGTTGAGGGTTTAGGGCCCCAAGTTTCTGAACCCTGCTCCGGGAGCCTTCCGTCGTTCCTTACTCTCGTCTACCCAACCTCTGCAGCCCTGTCTCGAGGAGAGCCAGGGACCTTTTTGGGCTGTCAGTTATCTCATCATATTTATGGGTAGTTCTCTAAATTAGGCTCCCTTTTTGGATCCCCAACATAGTACGACACACTTATAAAAAGGACCCTAACAAGGACCCTAATTTAGAGAACTACCCGTATGCTGTTAGTCCTAGTATTAGTTCGATTTGCAGGAGCATCAATACATTTACACATATATCGTGCTGGTGCAGGTAGTACGACTCTTCATGGTTCCCTTTACATAGGACAACAAATGTGCCAGAGCTGCAGATGCTGAAACAGGTACGGAACAACTAGAGCAGCAGCAACAACCAAAACAACAGCAACAACA